CAAGTCCCGGCAGCCCCGGGTGCCCCCAACTTTGCGCTCGGCCTCTGGGAGGCCCTGGCGGCCAGCAGGCAGGATGGTGAGCTCCTTGCACCCTGCTGAGTGGGCTCGGGTGGGCAGAGACAGGCGTGGGGATCCCGGTGGGGGGGTGGCTGGGAGCCGCCAGACACCTGATAAAACAGCCAGCGGAGGAGTGAGCGCTGCTATTTTAAGTTGCTGAGTGGAAGCTCTGGGGACATAAGGGGAAGGGACGGAGATCAGGCAGAGAAAGGGCCAGGGCGCCTGGCGGCCTGGGCAGGCACAGGCGAGCCAGCCGGGCACACCTCCGAAGGGGAGCCCCAGCCCGGAGCTGCGGGCAGGCCTCCCACCCTGCTTCTGGGACCGCAGGTGCCTGGCCCCTGTCCCCCGGCGCCTGTCTGCTGATGCCCGTCCGTGGCCTGCCATGCCGCCGACCGTCACGGCCTTCCAGGCCGCCTACATCGGCATCGAGGTGCTCATCGCCCTGGTCTCCGTGCCTGGAAACGTGCTGGTGATCTGGGCCGTGAAGGTGAACCCGGCTCTGCGGGACGCCACCTTCTGCTTCATTGTGTCGCTGGCAGTGGCCGATGTGGCCGTGGGCGCCCTCGTCATCCCGCTCGCCATCCTCATCAACATCGGGCCCCAGACCTACTTCCACACCTGCCTCATGGTGGCCTGCCCCGTCCTCATCCTCACCCAGAGCTCCATCCTGGCCCTGCTGGCCATCGCCGTGGACCGCTACCTCCGTGTCAAGATCCCGCTCCGGTGAGTCCAGGGCGGCTAAAAGTGCTGGCCCGGCCCCCTGCGAGGTGGCCGTGAGGGCCAGCGAGAGAGGACGGCGGCAGAGCACAGGACCGCAGGGAGGCAGCTGGCCTCTGGGCCCGGGTGTCAGCCCAGAGGCGAAGCAGCGGGCTGCTGGGCGGCCGGAGGGCTGTGAGCCTGGCCCCGGAGCTGCGCTGCTCCTCCTGACACAGCCGGCTGCGTGGCCCGGGGCGGGGGTCCAGAGGGGCTGCCAAGACAGTCACGGTGAATGGTGGGTGGGGACGACCTGAGCCCCAGCAACCCCCGGGGGTGGAGGGGGCAGAGCCGACTGCGGGGCCGGAGGGGCCGGAGGGGTCGTGCCGAGGCGGCCGGCACGGGGACTGCCGCCCCCGCAGGCAGACTGGGCAGCGTCCCGCTGTCCCCTGTCTCTGCGCCAGGGGCTCCTCCCTCTAGGGCTGTCCTGTGGAGCCCGAGCAGTCTGATGCCCTCTGCCCGGCTCCCACTTCTGAGACCTCTGCTGCAGCGGGAGGGGCAAGTGCGGGCAACTTCTCTCAGAGCCATGCACGTCTGCGCCGGTCACAGCCGGGGCCTCATGCTGAGCCCAGGGAGCCCTGGGCTGGGGGGCCTGACGGCGCAATGCTCACCGTCGTCCAGTCCACGTGGGGCCCTTTGCCCAGCACTGCAGGTCACAGTCTCGTCGCCAGGCACTGCCTGGGCCACAGAGTGCCAGTGAATGCCTGGGCCAGGGCCAGGGCCAGGGCCAGCCCTGCTGGGACACTCGCGGGAGGCTGCTCCCCACCCCCTGCCCCGTAAGTCTTGTTGCCAGCAGATTCCGTCTCCACCGGGCAGCTCTGCCATCTCCGGAGGGCTGGAGAGCACATCTGGGACCTGTGGCCTCGCTTGGCGGCTCGCCCGCGCAGGCCGGACGCCCACGCTTCTCCCGGTCGCACTGCATTTGTGCAACTTTCGAAGCCTGTTTCCTGCCCCACTTTCCCCTCTTCTCACTGTGACCCCGCCAAGGAGGTGGCGCAGAGGCTGGCAAAGGGCACCCTGAGACGCAGCCCCCCACGCAGGGAGCAGAGCCCCGCGCCCCCGGCCCCCCCACCTCTCTGTGCCCTGTCCGCCTCCCTCGCAGCCTCCAGGTTTCCTGGCCACCTGGGGTGAAGGCTGCTCTGGGGAAAAGGGAGGCAGGGAGGGCAGGCCAGGGGCCCGGGCGCCCCGTGCTGCAGGCCTCCGTGCCTCCGCGGTCCCAGGGCGTGGGGCAGGTGAAGCCGGTCCCACCATTAGTAGCACGGCGGGAGCCTGGCCCGGCCACACAGCGAGTGCCGCCCGCCGTGCGAGGAAACGCACAGGGGCGTGGGGGGCTGTTGAGAAATTCTGTCTGCCGAGAGGGGCCGTGGTGGGCCAAAGGCCTGGTCCTGATGCGACGGGGTTTACGGCCGTGGACTGGGCCCTACTTGCCCTGCGGGGGCGGCGGGGGCTGTACCGGCAGGAGCTGCAGAGGCCCAGCCTCGCGGAGCCTTCTTCTGGGGGCCGGGCCGGGCCGGGCCGGGCCGGGCGCGCAGAGGGCTGGGGACACAGGCCTGGGCTGAACTCTTTGCTGAGTTTCTAGCTGACCTTGGGAAAGTCACTTATTAACCTCTTAAGCTTCAGCGTCCTCCTCTGTGAAAGGGGACGCGAATGATGGTCCCCTCTTCCAGAGATGACTGGAGAAACACAGCAGGCTCGTCCGTCTTTTCATCCTTGTTTACCCAAAGTGGCCCAAAGTGGGGCTGACCTGGTGGGCTCTGCACAGCCCCCCGCGTCTCTGGGGGGCTGGGAACTTACATCTGTACGCACCTTTTCTCTTGGGTGGGTCGGTGGCAGCTGCATGCTGTTCCTGTTTCTGCAGAAGGCCTGGCACCTAGCACAGTGTCGGGCACACAGTGGACATTCGGCGAATGGGGGTGGCGCTGGGTGAGTCCCAGGGTGTGGCTGAGCCTCCCCGTGTCGCCCACTCCTTCTAGCTGTGGGCCAGGCCTTCCCCGCGTTCTGCTGTGCAGTCCTAACCACAGCCGCCCCCAGCAGTGCCTGGGGGGGCTCTCAGGGAGGAAGCTTTGTCTCCAAGCCGGGGGCCCGAGGGCTGGCCCATCACTGTCCAGGTCCCTCCACAGGGCACACGGCATGGGCTGCTCCCCTCTGGGCCACTGGCCATGCAGCCACTGCGTCTGGGAGAACAGCTCTTGGCCGGGAGTCCCCAGGTGGCTTGCCCTGATGAGCCTGGCACAGGTAGATGTGGCCCTGGGCACAAGTGAGGTCGGGGCGTCTGGGGGATGAAATCGGCCGGGCATCTCACCGAGTGAGGCACGCTTTGCTCAGTCGACCACAAATTTTATTTCATTCCACTTGGCAGAAAGCAAGAGAGAGAAAAGGTTCACATTATGTGGTGTGATCTAGTTACCAAAAAAAGGAAGCTCAGATTGTTGATTCATCAAAGACGTGTGGGCATTTACATGTATTTTGCGTGTTGTTTGCATAGCACCTTCACAGGCTGTGGCCATACCTGGTCCCCTCAGCTCCTGCCACCACCGTCACCCCCGGTTTTCCCGGTGGCAGCTCGGCGCCCAGTCCAGGGCCCGGCTGTGCCCACAGCTGGCCCTCAGGTGGGAGGGACACACGCGGTGCTGCCTGAGGCCAGATGGGTGTGGGCGGGGGAGGCAGGGGTGGGCGTTCGCCAGTCAGACCTGCTCTGTCATGGTCCAGCTGTGAGACCTGGGCTGTGGGTGGCCGGTGTTCGGGCCCCCTGAGCCTCCCTGTCCGCGGGGAGGTCCCTGCCGTCGCTCCTGCGGGGCCTGTGCTGCGCGGGGGAGGGCAGCGCTGGGGCTTCTGGCCTCCGTGGCACGAGCAGGCACAGGGCTTTCTGTGCCAGCTCATGCCCGTAGCCTCTCGCTGGTGCAGGTCCTCGTCACCTGTGTTCTTTGGACACTTCTGTAGAGAAACAGGTCCTCAGTGATCTCTGCAGACAAAGGTCTTGCTGGGAGCGGAGACAGCTTCAAATCCAGGCCTGTCCGCTAGGCGCCTTTGACCGTAGCCCACGCGCGTCTTGAGCCAGCCCCGGGAAGCTGCAGGGTTTACTCAGGGTGTCCTCAGGCGGCCAGCAGGGTCCCCTCCCATCCTAGGCAGTGTCCTCTGCATTCCGCTCAGCCCCACTCGCCCTCCCTCCTCACCTTCACTCCAGTGGACAGTGGGGCCCCTGGCCGTCTTGCCTCTGTCCATGGCTGGAGGCCTGCCCGGCTGGGCTGCTGACCAGGGAAGCTCAGCTGGGGGGTGTGGGATGGCGGGAAAGGTCTGGGGGCTCGGGGCGTGTCAGCTGAGCTCTCCCCCTACTGCTCGTGGCTTTTCTGGACACTGAAGGGCCCCCCGTGCTGCACCCAGCGTGACCATCTGTGGCCTCAGGTTCCTGGACGATGGCTCCGCGGTCTGGTCTCTGCTGTCAGGAGAGGTGGGCCCCGGCTCCTCTGTGGAAGGACGTTCGTCAGGCTGGAGTGTCTGAGACACAGGGGGCCCGTGTTCAGCTCCTCGCTCCTGCAAGAGAGGGGACAGGCCCAGATCCCAGAGTCCAGGGTCACTCAGCCAGGAGCCCGTTCCTCCTCGTTTCCCGACTCTGGAAAGCCTGGAGCAGCCGTGAGCCACCCCGTCCCCCGAGGACACAGCCTGCCAATGGGGCCGGACGCCAGTGGTCCGCTCAGACGGGTGCGATGGGGGAAGTTGCTTAGTGATGAAAAGGGCAGTTTCTGTGTTTGAATTCGGGACGCATCAGGCGGGTCGTGCTGGGCAAGGCGTCGTGGACGTTAGTTGACAGCGGCTCGGATGAGTCCCAAGGCTGCAGGCTTCTGTCAGCTGGCATTGCAGTGGCTCCCACGACACCACCTGCCCAAGCGTGAGCTGCTCGGAAGCGGATAATGGCCAAGCAGCCCCTGCCCGAGGGCCATGGAGCCCCAGAGGCTGTGCCCCGACATGCGACCGTTATTTCTGAGCACAAAAACATATATCCATGTTTATTGTTATGATTTTGAGAAATGCAGGAAGTGGTCAAGGTGCAAGAACTCGGGCAGGCCTCAGACCAGGCGCGGGGACTCTGCCGGCCCAAACGCTGCCGCTGGGCCCGTGAGGGGGACGGAGCCCCGCGGTCTGGTGGGAGCGCGCCCGAGGGGTGCGGCACCGGGCTCGGGGGGCTGGCAGGGTAGCTCTTTGGAGGAACTTGTTGCAAAGAGAGCAAAGGGCCCCAGCTGCCCGGACGGTGGGGCCTGGGCGTCGGCCGTGTGCCGTTTGCTCCGGCGGGAGGGCCGTCTGCCTGGCTGAGACCGCCCACGGAGGCCGGCGTGGGGACAGGCCGCAGCGTGCTGTCCTCGCTCGGGAAGCGGGGCTGGGACCCAGGAGCACGCAGACGGGGTGGCCGTGGGGGAGCACGGACCTCAGCCCGGCAGGAGGCCCGGCGTGTGGCTGGGGCTCTCTTCTGAGCTTTCTCGGTGAAGTGGGAAGCCGGTCATCAGCTGAGAGGGCGGAGGCGGATGTGGGGGACGGCCACGGAGAGTGTGGCCAATGTGGAGCCGTTTTCTGAGCACCGTGGCGACTGGGCTCGGGAAGTCTGGTGTGAGCGGGGGCAGCAGCCTGGCGCACCTGAAGCGCGTGGTGGCCGATCTGAAGTGAGGTGCGGCGCGGCGCCATGCTTGCCGCCCGTGGGCTGGCTGTGCGGCCGCAGGCCCTGAGGAGGCGGAGAGGTCGGGCCTTCGGAGGGCTGGGCGGCCTGGCTCCCGCCTTTGTGGGCCTTAGAGACTCGCGGGGAGTGAGCCCGCACACAGGTCAGCAAACAGACAGCCACATCACGGCTGGAAAAGACTTCGCTGGTTTTCTCCAAACTCTGTCAGTGTCCGGAGACCCACGGGCCGAGGACTAGGAAGGGCCGGGCGGGCGTGTGGTTCATGGTCAAGAGTCTAGCCTGTTCTAATTGCACTGTGGAGCCT